TTCCATGTTAATTGGAAAAAGTAATTTGTAGAATGTGTGTTGGGATTTTATAAAGTATTAGAAGTACTTTTGATGCATGCAGATAAGTGTAAATCCTGCAGTGTGTTTAAACATTTACACCAGCAAAAAAATCTGCATCAAGTTGGCCCACTAAAACTCAGTGGCATATTGGAAAGATTAATTGAATCAACTGTGGATCACGGTCTTTCTAAAGGACACTTTGCAGGTGGAGAACTCTTTCCCAGTGGATATTTTAGTAATCTGGTTAGAAAGATACTATAAGTATTGCAATTTCTGTCTCAACCTCTTTCTCATTGTCACTCTGAGAGGTTTTCTGGTGGTCTGTGTCATAGGCTGGAAGTAAAACTTGAACATTTTGTTTATCCCACAATGTTGCTGTAATAATATAGGATTAGGTTTATTTAGCAGTGGGATCAAATCAATCTCCTCAGTCAGCTGTGTGTACAAACTACCTTTCTTGGAATAAGTGTGCTTTCAATTCTAAGCAGCATAAAGGATATATTCAGTACTTTCTCTGTGTTTAAACTTGTTACTATTTAGCTGTATTTAGTGAAGCAGAAGCTGTTGTGTTTTTAAAAACCAGAAATAAGTTTTCAGTACTTCATCTGAAAAGGAGCATTCAGCTCTTTGAGTTAAATGTAAGAAGAGATCTTGCCTCTTTTTATATTGTGATTATCTTGAAGAAGACATATGGTAAGACTAGAAACTGTAAGGAAGAATAAAAGGATAAACAAGATTTAGGAATGTAATAAGGCAATAATTATTCATACATTAAGAGTTGTTTACCTGCAGTTAATGTTATTATTTTCTTCTCCCACTATCTTATTCTGATTTCCACCACGTAAAGCCTCTTTTTACAATTTTATGTTATTTAATGATACCAACTTTACTAATAGACCCGCTTATTGCATAAGTACTTCTTGATGAGTTCATAATACCTAGCAGGTAATCATGATGTTTCCTCACCAGTGTTTTACTTTAAGTTGACTTTTCTTACAGTGATCAAAAAGACAAGTCTAACATTGTATCATTCAACACACCTTACATAAATACATACATAAATACAGTCACATATACATGTTTCAATTTCAAATTAGTATAGCCAGCAAACATTACAATTTTTTTCTTATATTCAGCTTTGTGGTGAGTCCTCATATGATCTGATCATATGTGTTTTCACTGAAACACAAAAATAAAAGTACAATTTAAAAATATATATTTACCAAATATTGACATAATTATCAATTATGCTACAAAATCTGGAAAATCCTAATATTCTGGCATCATGAGTTAAATATAAAATATTAATATTCAATTTCTTTTGTTCTGCTCTATTTGAATTTGCAGATTTTGACTTTTTGGGCCCTTTCTTGACAGTCGTGAAACCAAGATCTTCCACACATTAAAAACAAACCATGAACACAGCTCAGAATATTAAATGAGATTGAAATATGATTCTTTGCAGACCTACTGTATGTCTGTGTTTTCCCTGAAATGTCATCTTTTTCTGGAAATCTTACCTGCACAGAATTTGAAGTCTTGGGCAGGTTTCTTTGAGACTTCTTCACATGCAGAAATTTAAGCCAATGATACTTGTCCCCATTCAATAGATCTTATTGTTCACAGATACAAAATTCCACATGTCGGACTCAGTGCTCATGCACATGGCAACTTAGGTTTTTACTTTACACATTTAAGTTGATCCATATTTTCCAGCTAGAAACATGACATACCTGTTTGTAAAGCAGACAAGCAAAGCCAAACCAACAAATTATTTGTTAGAAATTGACTTTTTAATATCTATTACTCTTCTTCTTATAAAAACTAAGTCTATTACAAAATGTTACAAATATATGCCTGCATGTTTTAGTGAGTAATGAAAAGGAACCATCTAAGTTTCATAATACAATGCAATAAATACACAATTTTGGACAAGTTTTTAGTCATCATATTTTAAAAAGTTATTTTTCTCTGTAATAGTCTTCTTTGAATTCTAGCTTGGTATTAATAAAAAAGAGACCCTCCAGGAACTCAGACAAATTTCTCCATCAACATTTTAGCTAACTTGACTGGAAGTATTCCATGAACTTCTGAACGGGGTGTTATATGTTATAGAAGCGCAGGAAAGATCTTTTCTGCAAAGCCTCTCCTTGGATTATGTGTCTTTTATGTGTTTTGTTTGAAGTAGTAAAGAGACAATTTATTCAACAAAATGTCTTTCGAACCATGCCAAAATTAGGCTTTCAGAGAGAAAAAGAAAATATGCAAATTTCTGGATATTCTGATAACACCAAGGGGTCATCACTGAAAATATCCCTTTCATGTATGATTTTTACTTATGTGTAATTCAGAGTCTTTGCATGGCTACTGTCACTATCCATGTCAATCTGCGCAGTTTCAAATGCTAAGTTTAACAAAAGTTTGAGATATTTATTTGCAGAATCTGAAGAGTAGAGATGCAGACTTTGCCTGTGTCAACTGCTATCTTGCAAAGTTGGTTTTGCTGAATAGGGAGGAAAGAGCTGCTGATTCTCTATCACCTTTGCAAGCAAAGAATCAGTTCCACTGTTTTTGGGGACAGCTTTAATTTTCAAATGAAAACTTCAAGGATGCTTTTGGTGGATGCTGTTTAGAAAATACACTCTTATCTTGTCATGTCACAATAGTGTTGCCAACGTTTTTCGGTAACTACTGCAATTATATTTCAGGATGAAAGGGAGAACGTGTGTTTTCTACTCACTGTAACTAACTTGTAGCATCTGAGGGACCCGTCATTTTGCCAAGGGTAGTTATGCAGTTCAGTTTGATGTTGTCTTTTTAAACAACATCTCATGTGTGCCTAAAGGTTTATGAAACTTTCTGCTTTTTTATTTTCCTAAAGGAGTTGTGTGTCTTGGGTTGAAAACACTTAAGTACATATCTTAAGCTTCCTGAGTATTTAGTAAATAGATACTGCTTTTAATTGAGCTGTGCTGATGCACTGCAATAAATACAAGAAATATATGAATAAAATAGGACAAAGAAAACTCAGTGACCTTTCTAGTTGTTTTGACCACATATGGTATGTGACATTTTATCTTATGTTTGCATGTGAGGTGATTCTAATCTACAGCTTTTCTGAAGTACAGGCATGTCAAGTTAATAGTTTACAGCCACACCTTTACTACTTTTTACACAAGTTGAAAAACACACCTTTAGCAACTCTGAAGCAGGGAAGGAGTAATGATAGATCTGAATAGCCAAAGAGCTCTTCTGTAAAAGCAGAAGAGCGACTGTATTGCATCAGACCAAAGTTCCATCTAGTGCACGTTGTCTCTCACAGGGACTAACAGACAATGCTCAAAGGAAAAACATAAACAGAGTAAGCATGTGGAGCTGCTTCCCCATGTATCCTATTGGTCTTCAGTCATTTGTAGTTTAGGGACTTTCTGTTTTCTAGTGTTTAGTAGCCCTGAGAGAAAGTTTTTCTTGTGATTTAATCTAATCTCTGCTGAAACCTGTGTGAAATTTTAACATCCAAAACACTGCATGGCAAAGAGTTGAACAGCTTAACTATGTTCTGCATGAAGAATCATTTCCCGTTGCTTATTTTGAATCTGCTGTCTCTGAACTTCTGTTGATACCCCTTACCTTCTGACTACTCATTACAGTCCTCAGCATTCAGATACTGTGACAATGGGCACTAGAAATTACTAAGGTAGATAAATTAGGTGCTTTATAATTATTATTATTTTGATTTTTAACATCTGGAATCTAAAATCTGTGTAAACTCTGGGCGTTTTGGTTTTTGGGAGCAGATGTTCACTGTAGTTCTTTTCAACATGTTTCTGCTTTTGTCTCTGACATCCTACTGTAATGGATTAAAATAAGCAAATTGGCAACTACTCAAGCCTTTAAATAAACTTTAGTCAGTTGGAGAATCATTGCGTCTCTTGTGGCGCCAGACCAGCAGCTATCTACATATATGTTTCTTTTCCTCTTATGCAAGAGTTGTTTGCCCTCTATTTATTAAAATCTTAGCTTATTTATCACTTTTTCAATATACAAAATGCACATGAAAAAGTTTAGCTTTTTGTTTTGTTTAACAGAAGTAGTAACTCCTTAAGCACAGTAAATCAAATCCTAAATTTAAGTTTATTAAGCTTATCTACTGTTCTGGTGGAAATCAGATGGAAGTCAATGGTGAGAGTGTGGTGAATTAGAGAAAGATATTTAAACTAGACTTTTATTAGGCACTTCTGCAAATAGAAGTAAGAGATGTGGAAAATGATAATGAGTCTGAATTGCATTTCATGCTATGCCATTGCATAGCTGTTATGGCTGGTCCACAGAAGCTTGTTGTACAGTCACAGTTGTAACAGAAAACTTTGCAATTACCAGTGAGGTTTTGTGTGTTTTCACAGTAAATGAAGACTTTACTACACTGATTTAAGCACAGGTTGTCTTGCATACCCTCGTCCAAGATTAGTCTGATAGTTTAGTGTAGTTGTATTCTCAAAATAAAAATGACCCCTTGCATAACTATATCCTTACACGAGTTTCTAACCACAATATAGTTTTCTCTGTTTTCATTGAATGAAGTTGCATGTGAAATATTTCAAATTCTTGAGCTGTAGTGTGTCAGTGGCACAATTCCTGACCTCTGCAGACTTTAAAGAGACTAAATATCATCCTTGCAAAAAATCATCATCCAAAGAAAAAACTAGGAAAAGGTAGTGTAAATAGTAATAAGTATGATCAACTAATGATGATATTGAATAATGGGGTAAGTCAAGGCATCCAAAAGTCCTTCCGTTCTAGAGAATTTAAATTCTATAGAATCCAGAATGCATGTCTTGAAGTGTATTCTTTATTATCAAAGACAGCTGCTACATAATTAAGAGATGCTGTTAATTGTATTTTGATTCTATAAAAATTCTACTGTGAAAAATACGTTCTGACTCACATATTAATTATCTTCTCTTTTCTTGATTGTACAGTGTTTTGGCTGGATATAATGGTACTATCTTTGCATATGGTCAGACAGGCAGTGGCAAAACTTTTACCATCACAGGAGGAGCAGAACGTTACAGTGATCGAGGCATTATTCCCAGGACTCTGTCTTATGTTTTTGATCAATTGCAAAAGGTATAGAACATATTTTCTGTTTATTTTTAATGTACAGTTTACAAATACTTCACTATTGCTGTTTTTGTAATAGTCTTAGAGGAAACCCTAAAATTAATGCTGAAGAAAATATCTAACTTGAAACAATACTGTATGCAAGAATACATTTGTAATAGTTTTGATTACCTGGCTTGTTGCAATAGACTGAAAATAATGGACATCAGTGGGGGGAGGGTTTTGTAGGTTTAAAACCATACTATTTTTGTTTTCTGCAGCATACATTCATATCACATAATTGGTTATCCTTCTCTTAACACTTATATCAGCTCCACTCTGGTTATGTATTGTATGCATTGCTTTTTATTTTGATATTCCATGCAATGAAATGAGTGAATAAGTGAAAGGATGTGCCAGAGTAAGCACACTGATTGTTCATTATGTTTATTACATTTGCAAGAAATTTCGTTTTCCTTTAGTGTCTGAAATGCATGAGTGAGCACAGTCAATCATTCTGGTTTTTTCGTAACTATAGGAGGCAAAAGTGAAGAGAGAAGTCTTGTGTAATTTATGTTTTTTCTCTTCATTTACTCCACCAGGCCTACGATTCATTAATCTTCACATTTTAACAAAGCTATTTAATTAAACCAATTTAAATGTTATTTGGCATCAACATCAATCATTACATTGTAGTTTTATACTCTGCCATTCATGTAATACAGGGTACCAGTTCATATTCATAAGGGTATATGTCTCAGTCACATTAACATGCCCTGTCTCAGTAAGGGTTAACTATAGTAAGTAATTACTTTGGCTCTTTGAAAGTATGGCTTTGGCATATAAAAGTACATGATATTGCAGGTGCACAAAAGCTTGTCATTGTGGGAATGGAAATGAAATAAACCCCCATGTGATCATTTTGCCTTAGACCTTCTGCTGTGTTCACATGACCCCATGGAGGACTTTTGTGGTGGAAAGCGAACAGGTTGATTGTGCAGTTGCCGGCAATGACCAGTGTCAACACACCAACATTGTCTTCTAATGCTAATTGTGTCATCGAAACAAAATAAATGAAAACTAACCCGTTTATTTTTCATCTTCTTAGCACATAGTTTCTACCAAAATAAAAAAGTTTCCCTCTTCAGACAGGATTTTTGAATCAAAAGCCATACTTAATTACGCTTGCAGGGGTATTTCTGTTTTCCTGCTTTCAAATCATTGTGCTGCATATATTTTCTTTCTTAGTGCATTCTAAAGAATCTCTTCTTGGTGTTTTATATTTCCACTTGCTTTTCTTTTCATACCTTTCACCTGTTTCTTTATATCTACAACTGTGCTTTGGAAGGTGCTGACATACTAGACAATACATCTGCCTTCTAACCCTGAGTAGGATGAAACAGGAGAAAGTGAAATCAAGGACACAAAATACAAAACTTGTGAAGCTCTTAGTTGCACAAAGACAGTGCAGTTTGAAACCAAGGATACAAAGCTTTTTACCCTAAATGAGAAGCAAATCAAGCCCTTTGTTTTTAATAACATCTCCTTTTAATTTAGAAATTCTCCTACTTCCACAGTTTCCTGTTTGAACAGTTTCTTACTTCATTTTTTCCATCCATCTGTAGTGTATCTTTTTAAGTCATGTCCCTTGAAATAGTGAACTGTCATTATCAATAAAAAAAAAACCCACAGGAAATAACTATTCAATGAAAATGAAAAGTTATATTTTGAAGTATTTTGCAACACAACAGTAATGGATTGGATTATTAAACTTCTACTGTGATATGAGTGCTTTCACAGTGGCTTCATCTGGCAAAAAGAAGTTACTGGTTTTTGAGTTTCTTTATTTTATTTTGGAAATCATAGCCCACTATTTTGAGGTTTGGGGCAGGAGAAAGTTCTGTCTGCAAAACCCACTTGTGTTAAATTACATTTTGGCAATGTAATATACCAAAAAATTGTGATTGCAGAGAACAGCGACATCATATACAGTGTTTAAATGTTATAATAAAGAGAGTGAAAAGCAGTATGTCACTGATGTTTCTAAATGGAGTAAATCTTATTTTTGTTGTTCCTTGCTTTTTTTTTTTTTTAAAGCATAGTTTTTCTATCCATAATATGAGGGTTTACCTTTTTATAATAGCATTCTTTTCTTGGTGTAGAAGTGAAAAATGTCATGTTGCATTGTTCTGTAAGTGGGCTCCCATGTTCTAAATATACACAGACTTTTCTAGGTATAAGGAATCAATTAAAAATCCCAGACTAAACTCATGGGCATGGTGGAGTTTGAGGGGGGGATTTTTGTTTTAGTGGATTTTATGTGTGTGTGTGTGTGTCTGTTTTAGTTGGGGGTTTTTACTGGTGCTTTTTCTTTTTTTTTCTTCTTGAGCCTTTATACATATGGTAATCAGAAAATATGAAAGTATAACAAATTGATAGTGTACACCATACCCAGGAAAAGAAAAAGATACAGAGTGAGAAATTAATATAAAAGCTGTAGCGATAAATTTGTCATCTAATCTAATTCTGACTTCTCTTTATAGCACTCCTTTTTTTCTATTTTTTTTCCTTTTCTTATCTAGGACAGCAGTAAAATGTATACAACTCACGTTTCCTACTTAGAAATCTACAATGAATGTGGTTATGATCTGTTGGACCCAAGGCATGAGGCCTCCAGATTGGAAGACTTGCCGTAAGTAATAGGACCATTTAAGAGAATCATCAAAACCAACAGGAATCGTTTTCGTATACCCTGTTGCATTGTTTGGGGACTTTTTTGCAGCTGTATTACTGATCTCAGTGTTAATTTAATCAATATACTTTGTTTTCTCAGTTTTTTTACCACTGCTTTAATTTTCTGTAATTTTGTATGTATATTGGCTGGGGAGACTAGATGGGAGTAACTGAAGATGAAAGTATTAAAAGTGTATTTTGCAAAGGAGATCTCTTGCAGCCACTGAGAACAAGAGAAGATACTTGTTTTTCTCATGACAGCCTGTCTCTGTATGCTATACATGACTGTGTGGGGCAGAGACATATGTAAAAAGCATTATTTCCTTGCAACAGTAGTGAGAAAAGCTCCCTGCTTGTACTTGGGCCTTTTCCTTCAAGGATCTATTTTTCTAGAGTATGCTATTAGGAAATAAGGTAAGTAACAGCTAGAAAATAGGCCACAAGGAACTCCAAAGAAGAGGATGTTTACTTCAGAATGGATGATTATTATGATAGTTTTCATTGATCAGACACCAGCACTTACTAATACTTAGAGAAGAGTAGTAAATAGAGGTTTGTATGTCATGAACACTCCAGACTGGTGAAATTAAAATTTTCTAATTTGTGGGAAATCCAAATTCTAGTTTCTAAGTCTGAAATAATAGTTTATAGTTTTTGCTATTCTTTAAATAACTAAGAAAACAGCAAATATGTATGAATAAGAGAGTTGTTGACTAAATTTGCAAATGTTTTGAAATAATGCTGCACTCCATAAACTTTTATCACTCAACATAAGGGTAAGAGAAACATGTAAATAACAATCAAATAATTGCTGATACACGAACAGGAAATGTACTCAAAAACTTACAGTGGGGAAATAACTGAAAATCAGTTGAATTTTACATTTAAATATCTAATTATGTTATTTACATATTATTAAACCAATGTTATTTATTAAAAAAGTCTTCCAACACAATATTTTAATGTGTTAGAATAGAGCTTTAGTTTTCTACAAAACACGGGATATCTAGGATATACTTACTTACAAAAAAGTTTTCAAGATTGATCTTTATAAAATGAACTAGTCTAGAGATTAGGAAGGCAGCAGACAAAGTATGAGACTGGGCTGTGAATTGGTCTCATTGTTTTGCTTTCTTCACCTGTAAAATGGAAGCAAATTTTAGCACCTTATGACATGTTGATGCTTAAAGACTATGTATATTTACCAATGTCTTTCATGGCAGAGTTTAGAATTTTAATTTAAGTTATTGTCTGCTTCCTGTGCTATGCAGACAAAAAATTTACATCAGAGGCTAATTTGGGTAATCATTTTTGTGCCCATTTTTGCAGTGCAGATTTTTTCAAGGTTTTATGTTAAAAAAGCATGTTACACTTTATTCAGCTTCTTAAAGTTAATGCTATTAAGTTATTCAAGTTTATTACATTATTAATATGATTTATGAAGTTATTTTACATATTTTAAGTAATTTCATTTGACATTTTATGAAACTGAATTTATTCAGTTGAAATAAACTGAATTTGATTAATTTAATTGAAGCTTTGAGACAGATATTTGGGAGCCATATACCCTGGAAAATATCTCACATTTTGAAACTAAGTACTGACTGTCTGCTAATAATTATGAATTTTAGAGTCTCCAATTAGGTTTATGTATGCTGATTCAATTAAGCTTGGGAGTAACTCCTTGTTAGGTATTAGGCTATTTTAAAAAGTAAAAGTTGATAATTTGGTTATAAATTAGGGATGAAGCACACTGGGATAATCATAATTATCTGTAAATTTACATAGTGTATACTATTACAGGATGGGTTATAGTGAGATAATACATTTTTCTGTGCAGAGTAATCTTAACAAATGCTTTAAGGTTTTACTGTACATGGACATTATTATTTCCAGTACATCATTTGTCAATAAAATGTGTTCTATACACTAAAACTATACCTTGACCAGTCATATTTAACTCATAATGCAGTCAGGGGCAGGGGAGAGGGTATGCACCACCACGTGTAAAAGTATTTAATTAATACAATATTTTTTGTTTATTTTTTAATATTGAAGTTTGAGGATTCAAAATTTAAAAAAATATAGTGTCATTCTGAGTTAGAAAGGGTTTATGAATTGCAGGAATGGGTAGTTGATTATTTTAATTACTCAATTAATTCTCATTAATTACAAAGTACAAGTTACATGTAAGTGGTAATAACATATTTTAAAATTTATCAGGTGTTTATTTCCTAATATGTATTTAATGTTTCTGAGAATTTAATGTGTTTAAAACCTTGTAGCAAAATACAAAATGACTTAACTTTCTCAAGTTTGTTTGAAAGCCTGTATTTAATGAGAATATTAAAAGGAACTAATGGTTTTTGTACTGTAAAAGGGTCACATTGTGCATAATTTTCTGTTGAACTCCACAGCACATCTAGGCTTTAAGCACCATACAAAGTCAAAGGCAGGGTATTTACCCAGTGTGCTTGGGTAAATATTAGTAGTCAGTCCTGATACTTTCCCAAGTATTTAAGATGGACAAGAAGAGTATTAAAGAAGTGTGTCATTTTAGAAGAGTAAGCAAAAAGATTAGTTAACCTCATAAAGTATGCAGATTGTTTTGGAGGAATATTTTTTTATCCATATTCCTGCAAAAGAAAGAGGTTGGAATTTGAATCAAAGTATGTACTTCTGTCTAGCAAACTTTATGTTACTAGTTCAATGAAAAGAATAAACACAGATTGCACTCAGGTAATACAAGTTATGAAAAACTCACTACAGGCTTGTTGCTAGTACTTGAAAAATGAGACATAAAATTATATTTGATGTTTAAGGCAAAGTGAATAATATAAACATTTTTAAAATTGTCCATTGCATCTAATCATTGAATGATTAGATTTGGAATCTCAGCTCCTGAAGTCAACATTCCATATATAACCATACTTAGTATTTTCTGTAGACTATGAAATTTCCATCTTTAACATTGTTTAATCCTTTCATTAGAGTCTGCCAGATGAGAAGGGAAGAAACTCTCACAAAAAAATCACTGGTTTTCTGGAAATAAATTCCTGAAAAATGCATAAATGTAGTTTATATATCTGCACATTAAACTTTTAATGGAAAAAACCCAGTTTTCTTGATGTTTTGTTGGAATGATATTACTTGTACCCCATAGAAGATATCCTTTGATATACCTTAATGCTTCTTCCAAAACATGTCTTAGTTTACAATTGTAACTTGTTTTGCTTATACAAAACTGTCAGTGTTTTAATTTGTTGACACTGTAGCTGAAATCCAGCATATGCAGATGCAAAAAATATTTGAAGAATCTTACTTGTTAGAATGCAAAAATTGAATTTAATATTGACAGTCTAATTCTGTTTGTAGCAGTAGAAAGTTCCATGTTTATAGCAAGGAAATTATGATTGTTTTCAAACATATAAAAGTATAAAATTGTTGCTAAAAAATACAGCTGGTGGAAGACTATTTAAATACTTCCTGCCACTTCATGCTTTCAAAAAAGTTTTGCAGGACTGTTCAAATTAGGAATATTTTTCTGAAGCTCTAAATTTGTGCAAAAATTTGTTCAATCTCCAACAGGTTCTCTGTTGTAGGGTATTTGTAATTTGTATAACTCAATGTTACTGAATCTGACAAAATTCACTTTAGTTACAACCTGCCAGTACTCTTCCTAACTAGTTTGTATTATTTATTAAGAAGTAAGAATTTTCTTGGCACTGACTAATTACAAAAAAGTAAAGAAGGAGGTTATAGAGCCATAAGTCAAGAACGACTTAAGTCATAGACAACTGATAAGTTACCTCTTTACCTGTCATATGGCAGGTGACCATCTTGCATGTGAAGGCAAACTATAATTAATGCTGGTTTGCCTTGCAGTGTTAGCCTTTGAACTGCAGTAGTTGAGAAGCTGCTTCTCAGGGAGCTTAGAGAACCGTTAATCAGGAGTGATGTAGCCAAGGGAAAATGCAATCTGAACTTCAAACCAACATAAATGATTCCCCGATTTTGTGTGAAGATTCTATAAAGTTCTCTTTGAGAGGGAGATGTGGAAGTTTAAGTATGATGCTGTCAGACTTTAAAAGAAAACCACACTTGAAGCTAAGAGCCAATTAACTTCAAACATTAACAGTGATGCCTATATCAATATATATTAGTAACATATATTGGAATTTTTATGTTTCATGGGACCAGTGTGAAATATTTTCACTTTAAAAAAATTCTCTAACTGGATATTGGTTAACTACCTCAAATGGGTTTGTACTCTTCTATTCTCTACTGCTCTCCAAGGACTTTAAGAGATACCAAACTACTGGCAAACTAAAACAACTAGTATAATAATTCCTATGCTATTAAGAAAGAAGGATAAAAATAAAAAAGGCTAAAGGAATAATTTTCAACATACAGGAAATATATTTTTGTAAGTTTAAACTTTTCTGTTTGTTAATGAGGAGACAGCTGAAAACTGTTCTGAATAATTTCTTCAAAGATTATTATTTTTTTCATTACAGTTCAAACAAATTATGCTTTAAATGTATACAATAACTTCAGCATACATTATATATTGTTTATTCACATCCAGATTTTATGTTGATTTGTTTCCTGAAAACCAGTAGGAAGTCAGTGAAACTTTTCTAAGGTGACTTTTCTACAAGCATTTGATGAGCAAATTAATTCAAGGCAACTTTGCTTGTGAATGTCAAAGCTTATTTAACAAGTTTTGTTGTTTGTTTTTTTGGTTTGTTTTTTTTTGTAAATGAGATTATTGCAGTTACCTGCAAATTCTAACATATTTTGTATGGTTTTTTGTTACACACTCTACCAATCTCATTGTTTCAGTTTGGACTCCTTGGTCAGCATGGTGGGGTGAGGGGAGAGAAACAGTGCACATCTCTTTCCAGATCTCAGTAAGAAAAACCTGACAACACATGGCTTACTAATGTAACCACTTTAATTAGACAGAATAAGAAGAGGAATATAGGTGGCAATTAAATCTTACATCCCATCAGTGCTGGTGTCCTGCATTTGGGCAACATTGGCCTGAATGGATTTCTCCACGGTGCATTGCACCGAGCAGTCCAATTCCAGTCCATGGAGAGAAACTCTCCCTTTTGGCCTCTTGAGCTATTATATAATTTGCTAACAAGAAAACAACTCCATTCTAAAAAGTGTTCTTATAAGAACCTAGTGGATTTATTGTGCAGCCAAGGCATCTGTGCAGTGCGACACAGGCCTGAATGCCCCTCTGTGTGTGCAGCACATCGGCTCCGGGTCACTGTTGTGTGAATCACTAACTCCTAAATGTGTAAGTCTCCCAGTCATGTCCATAATATGCAGAACAACCAAAGTGTGGTTTTGTTGTCTCACAACAGAATCCATTGGAGACAGTGGGAAAAACTTCCTATCACAATATGACATGTCAAGCAAACAGTCTGCATGAATACTTAGTCATCTCATAGTTCTGCCATGTCTCACATGCCAAGGAGATTATACTCTAGGTCTATACTTCAAAGAAAAATGAAATCTGTGTGCTACTGAAAGTTGTGTTGGTAGCTGAATAACTTTGTAGCCTCGCCTCTTGAATCAGTGTTGACTTTGTCCTTTGTTGTGGTATTCAGGGAACTGTACTTCTGAAAGATCATTTTTTTGGGGTGATCTATAAAATTATTGATCATTCTTTCTTAAAACCCAAATTTTACAAATCATTAGCAATGCTTATCCATTAATTTATTCTGTTCTTCTAGACAGACTCCAAGGTGCATGCTTGCTGCTTTTCTCTTTAATATCTTTCCTAAATTTATTATTGGCTCTATACTTGCCTCCTCACATTGAAGTAGTATCACTCTAATCTCCTCATGTATTATCAGAAAAGGTGTGTATCTTCATATATTATTTATTTGTACCATTATGATTAATTTTTAATTGTTTATAAAGTTTTTAATATTGTTTAAGATTTCTTCAATTCTAAGCCCTAGAGACAGATATAATAATAGGAAACTTGATTTTTAAAAAAGTTATTTTTTCCAAAATATTTTAAGGATTTTTTTTTATTATTTATATAACATATGATAGTGTTAATTAATCAAAGGGAGCTTTAACTTCATTGTTTGCCAGTAACAAGAATTTCATAAATTAAAGCATTCAGTGTGCAAGGCTCTCCTGCATTAGTGGCAGCTCAGCTGATGCAGGAAAGGGCCTGAGCTAATAAGAGTGTAAGAAAGACTGATCCCATCCTACAGGCTTCCTGGTCAGCTACTAATTCCATCCATTAAGCCAAATGGAAAAGATTCTTTGTTTATAAAGAATACAAAACCTTGTCTCTGCCTTCTTTCAGTCATTATGGATAACTTAGCAAAATTTTTCCACCCAAGTTAGGACCATGAAATTTAAAGGTTTTACTAATATATATCATACTATATAGTAACTTTATAAAATTGTAAAAAATAATTTTGTTGTCATTTTGGAACATACCATTCTATGGAAGTTATGATAGATGCCTTTCCAGATGTAAAATGTAGGCTTTCATTTGGAAATCTTCCTAATAGTTGCAAGGCCACTGTATAGGAAGGCTGTCACTGTTTTGTGAGATCTGCACTGTCTCCTTTCTGATATAATAATCCTCCAGAGCTTTACATCCAAATTTAACATCTTATTTTTCTGGAAATTATTTCACAGAGTCACAGAATATTCTGAGCTGGAAGGATCTGTGATCAAAGTGTAGACTCAAAAGATCCTTAAAAGTTTAAATACTATGCCAAATGTGCATAATAAAACAATATTGTTTTCCTAAATTATGTAGATAATGCTTACCATGCAATTTCAAAATATTAAAATTAGTCAGAGCATCATACTATAATCAGAACCACTCTGGGCTTTACTGTGTAAATGTAATGCATTCACAGGTGGAATTGCAGACAGAATACAACTTGACATTATCAAAAATTTATTAAGCAAGAGCAGAATTATACTTTGGGGTTTATGCTTTGAATGAGGAAGCTGAGTTTTGTGACTGTACTAGTAATGTCTTATGCTACCTCACAAAAGTAAGGCTATAAGTGGGAGGCAATCATACTTGGACAAGCAATTGTTATGAATACTAAAGAAGCATTGTGTGTACTTTTACATGTATTTATTCTTGAAAATAGTGAGTGTAATGCAATTGTTAAAATTATTTGTGTATATCCATTCAAATGTTTTGACCATCAGACTGTGAACTACTACCCTATTATCTAAGAGCAATACTGTGGAATGCTGCTTATATGCTTGATTTGATTTGTGGGTTTTGGGGGGAAAAAAAAAAAAAAAGAACAAAACCAAATCTTTCTGGTTTTGAAGCAACTTGAAGTAATTAGCATGCAAAAACTATCTACTGGTAGAAACTCAAGCCCCATACTCCCTCTTGTGGTTAACATTGAAGAACATGAAAAAATATGTATATACATATATGTATACATATAGGTGTATATGTATAGATATAAAGTATTATCTATACTTACAGAGTAGAAAATATTTTTTTTAGAAAGAAACCCCTCCAACTTGTAAAAGCGTTCTAATTTCCTTGTTTTAAATTGTGTCAGAACATGTAATTCACCTTGAAGCATAGGTTATTCATCCTCAGATTTAGTGTACTTCCATTTTAACAGATTCTTCACTCTGGAAGTTTTCCAAATCCAGTGAGGCAACTACTTGGCTTCCATGTTGGATGCTAAAAAATGTTCCAAATAAGGAGATCCTAATGGCTACTCAGTAATGCCAATCAAGTTTAACTCTCAGTAACCGTTTCAAAAGAAAAAAAAATCTTATGTTAAAGGACTATTTAAATAAATGAAAAGGGTTTTCATTAATACTTAGCAGCTCTTTTGGAGCTTTTACCATATCCTTGCTACTTGCATCTAACTTCCTTTCTGTAAACTTTATGGCTTATAGAAGTACAGCTAAGAGTATTTCTGACGTCAGTGGAAATAAATAAAATCATTCTGTTGCCTTGCTTTTAATTTAAGAATGGGATAATTTACAGTTGTAGTTACTACCATTTAAGAAGAATGAAAAGAGAACTAATCTTTACAAATGCGAAATTATTAGAAACACGTTGGGTACAGATGTGTTGATTCTGAAATATTCCATGCCTATTTGTACATCAAGATTATGGTATATTTTATGTATCGTCTGTGCTTGGTAATAGAAAACAAACCCCCACTTATTATTTATTTGTGATGATTCATCTAACCTCTTTCTCTTGAGATTTTATTGTATCTCACTAAAATAAAAATCCCAAAGCTTTCTCTAATACTTATAGATTTCATATATCCCTTTTCTATGTGAAGGTTTATAATAAAGGAATAAAAAGAAGGTGATAGTTTAAAAAAAAAATCAACACTTCCTTTTTATGGATGTCATTTATTTTTCACTTCTTTAGTTCTTTCATTATGATTGGTTTGGAGATTTAGATTTCACCTTTTAGGTGCATGCAATCAAAATGAAAGTATGGAAGAAATATTGCTTTAAAACTGTAGTTTTCATTTGCTTGTTGTTTTTATTTTCCAAATAGAAAAGTGACAATAATGGAAGACTCTGATCAAAACATTCATCTGAAAAACTTGTCTCTTCAGCAAGCAACAAATGAGGAGGAAGCCTTAAACCTACTCTTCTTGGGAGACACCAACAGAATGATTGCTGAGGTGAGAATTGCTGCTCAAAATCCTCCGTAATACCACCAGAGTTAAAATTGTCATAAACCTCTCCACAAAGATGTATATTTTGGAAATCCTTGGAGATAAATTGGTATCTTCTTTCTGAGTGTATTTCCACAGTGAATGTAAATAAGCATTTCCCTGATGACAGCTTTCACTTTGCAAAGAGCTTTCTGTTTTCCCATAGTGAATCTGATTGGTGGTTGTTGATGTCATAACTTACTGAAATTCAAATAAGTCAAATACAAAAGTTCTCGTAAACTGTAGTCTGACTTTTGAATGTGGCATGTGTCATCATACATATACATTTAAAGATTAGAAAACATGCCCTTGCACAACATATGTCATCTACAATTCCCACAGAAGTTTTTCCCTGAAAGTGTTCGACACCAGCTTGGATGGGGCCCTGAGCAACCTTGTCTAGTGGAAGGTGTCACTGCCCATGGCAGGGGGAGTTGGAACTACATGATCTTTAAGGCTCCTTCCATCCCAAATCATTCATGATTCTATGATTAAGTACTGAATTGCCTTTGAAGTGCTTACCATAAACTATCGGTCCCCTCTTTTTTTCTTCTTATTGCAGAAACATGTGGTGTTATGTGTAAAAACAAAACAAAAAAATCCAAAAAAACCCCAGGCAAAAGACCCCAAAAAAACAACAGCAATGACCAAACCAAATCAAAAGAAAAAAAAAACACAGAAGAACTCTCAAAAACCTAAATGGTAGTGCAAAGCAAATTCAAAATAAATGTGTACAAATAGGTAAAGACAAGCATGTTTTTACTCATTCTGAAAAATTCAAATGAAATGTTTCCATATCCAAAATCTGTAGGATTCTTTTTTTCCTTATCTTTGTGCTTGGATGTGGAATGTAAACATAAAAAGTGTATAGTAAAATGTGAAGCACTCTCAATGTGTCTTTACTACAATACAGTTAATTCTATTTTACAAGTTTGTGGGTTTTCTTCCTATGTATCACCAAAAAGATGTATCATAAATCATTGACAAGGAAGACACTTAAAGCATATGAAATAGTTAAGTAGTTCTATGTTCCTACTGGCTGGCTATGTACACCTGAGCACAGGGGAAGAAGCACTTGATTACAAAATGTAAATAGGCAAAATAAATATTTGTTCTCTCTTTCTCACGAAGGACGGTTTCAGCAGTTACATTTTGAGAGGCAAGAAATAATGAATTTAAGGGCTGTTAATAAATATGAGTATTGAGGCAAGGAACTGCTTCATAATACTAACAGGGAAAAATTGTAGAGGAGAGGAACTTGAAACAGTGTAGTAGGAGAGACAGAAAGTTGACACTGATTTCAGAGGCTTTAAAACCTATCATGATAGTGAGTAATCGCAGAATATTCAGAGTTGGAAGGGACCCACAAGAATCATCAAGTCCAACTCTTAACTGAATGGCCCATAAAGGGATCAAACCTACAACCTATGCCATTATTAGCACCATACTCTAACCATCTGAGCTAATCTCAGGGTCAACAGAAATTTAGAATTCACTGTATGGAGAAAGATCTACAGAAAATCTCTGATCAGTCTAGAGGCCCTCTGTATGAAAATGAGACCAAGTATTTAAAGAATGATACACTGCTGGGTACACAGGATCATAACTCAGCAATTGGAAAGGGCAATTTTGTTTCGTATTTGGAAAGAGAATATATATCCCAAACACTGAAAGTTATGAACAAATAGCAAGACTAATAAACATGATAAGTCATTAAATGTCAAGATGAAGTAATGACCAATAGCAAAATACATAGAGATGAGTAAAAGATAAAACAAGTCAATAATGATAATTTAAAAAAAAAAAATCTCTTGGTTTTGATTAGTATGTGTTTCAGACGACTATCAGCTAATGACTTGCTGTACTTTTTCTTTGCATGAATTTGGCGTTTTTGGCCCTGCCAAATTTTTATCATGAAATCTCATGTGACACAAGGTTCTATGTCTTAAGTGAATTGTGTGAGGAAAATGTTCTTTAGCTTGTTTTTAAATCTACAACTTGTTAATTTTATTTGGAACATTCTAGTACTTGCTGGAAAACAATAAGAATAGACATCAGATTGTGTAGCACCCCAATAGTAGAGAATTCACTAATCTAAATAGCTTGAGTAAGCAAATGCTATGCCAATGTCAGTTTTGCTACTTTTGCAAGAGTTTTTTTTTATATAAACACTATGAAGTTACTGTTTCATTGGCCTTAATGAAAAATTACTTAAAAGAAAAAATGCTGAGAATTGCTTGGAATAACTACCACATATTACGACAATATTTACTTTGCTTAGTCTGAATGCTAGTATGATTCTCAAAACTCCAAATGAGGTTGATTTCATTGTCCAAGTTTTTTTTATGTAGTTATGTCATACATTTTTCCTTTATGATTGCAGCAGGTATGTTGCAGTACAGTTCAGTGAACTTACTGATTGCTGCTTCCTCTTATCATTACAGAATTTATCCCCATTATTATATGGCATTTCAGGCTTAAGGTGACTCTAGTACTTTATATGATAACTTATTAGAATAAGAGAATAGTGTTTGCAAAAATTATAGATTAATGTAGACATCTAAGAAAGAGGACTTATGACATAAAACATAACTTCTTCTTCAGAGATCCATATTTTTAAATCTTAATTGAGTTATGATAATACTTTCTGACCTCTGAAGACTAGAACCTTCTTAAGTAAACTAAAGGAAAAGATACAGGATTAATAAACCTAAATAGAAAAGAAAGTAAAAGAAATACTTGATTCCTCTTTTTTAATGATGATCAGTTTGGCTGTGGAAAAACTCAGACAACAGTCACGGATCTCGTATGAAATTTGTAGCCTCTGAAATTGCGGTCTGATGCTCTACCCCTGAAATAACCTTTCTTTTATTTTGAAAATAAGAATGACAATCTAATTTCTGAATCGCCTGTGCTAGTGCAGTCTAACTGGTGATTTGAAGGCTGCATTTTTCCCTCATTACTGATTATGCTAAAAAGAAAGTGATCATAACGTTAGAAGTATTTTACAGGCTATATTCATTCATTCATTAAATGTCAGAACCTAAGGGAACATTTATAACTGAGTACTTCTTTCCCACACATAACTATATAGCGTATGAGAAGGGAAAAAAAGGAAGCTAGTCTAATTTTTGTAGATTACTTTGTTAGTCACTGTAGAACTGGTCCTTTCCTCTAATTTTTTTGACATGTACTACAAGTTGGTGAGATAGCAAGATGGGACACATCTGTGCACAAACAATTCATACTGTAAAAATCCAAACAGGAATTTTTTGTCTCGTATTTTTCCAGAGAGAAATAGGCAGAGATCAAACACAAAAAATTGATTCTTTTGTTGGCAGCTCTGCCAAATGTAAGGGCTATATTTTTGGTTTTCCCATAATGCCAAGTTTCTTGTTGCATTTGAGTGTATGAGAATCTGCAGCAATAGGTTATAAGATCTGAACTCATTTTTTGTATTTTAATTTCGTAAGCCAACTTTGATTTAGTCATCTACGTGCAAACAGGGGATTTCAAAACCTAATTTTCAGTATAGCAGCAATATCTAATAAAGCTCCTGCAGAAAGAAGTGTTTGGCCATTTAGATAGTGTTCACAAACCATTTCATTTTGGTTTACTATTAATATATCTTCAGGTGAATCTCTTATGATCTTTGTCCTTTGAAATAACCTGCCTAAACCTCTGTGATTTTGAGAATTCTTGGTATTTTTTAGTATCTCTCTTAAAACAGCAGAGTAAGGTCATCTCCCAAAGACATGCATCAATTTCCAAACTGTAAAATCTTTATCTGAGATTAATATGTCTGAGTATTGCAGTTGCATGTACAGCTAGACTTTATTTTTCCTCTAATGAGAAAGTACTTCATTTTAATGAGGAAGGAAATGTTTTAGTATATGGTTTTATACCTATAGTGCTTCATTTTTTAAATTTGGAAGACCATACATACTACGCAGTATTTGTTCCATCATTTAGAATGTTCAAAGTACACATGGGGCAAGTAGTAAGCTTTTGGCAATGTTTAAATATGTTTATTTTAACAGAAAATGAAACTTTAAAGATTTAAAGATAACTGTAGGGACTGACTTGTGACCTCTGAATTGGACTCATTCCGTTTGTATTTCTTGTCCATCACTATTCTCTTGAATATATTTAGAAAGCCCTTGTAGTGTTTGACTGCATTTTTTATTGGATACAATATGAAAAATAGGATTTGAATGTGTGAACATTTTAGATTAAATGACACTTGACAAAAAAATGCATGATATCCATGTTAGCACTGTATTCCAGAAGGAATTAAAATTTTCTGCTTCACTAGATTCCTCATTGGTGTCAGCTCTTAATTTATTTCCACTCCCAAAAACCTGTTCTATAGTATCAATAACACCAAATGGCATTGTCATTTCAGCACAGGTGCTTTCATTTCTGTGTATGGTAAAGAAATCACAAGTTGTACATATTACTTTGAATAGTCCTTAAAATGCTTTTGGGATTTATATGGATGAAAGGCACTATATAATATAAAGTTTAATAATATCCTCACCAGGGAATATTAATTACTCTAAAAGTTACCTGAGCTTCTGTGGTCTAACTGTGAAACTGTACTTGTATTAAATATGGAAAGATAAAGTATTGCTTTCTGGAAATGATTGCACCTATTCTGATCCTTATATTTTCATAGCCAAAAATTTTCAATTTCAACTATGTCAAGTGTACTTAAGTACACATGAAGAGCCCTTTCACTTGCACCATTATTATATAGAAAGAAAACTAAAGATATATTAAGGTCTCACTCATTTACCAAATGTAAAGGTGGGAACTTCCTATCATCAACTTACATACTCTTCCATATAGCTCGGTTCTGTTGGAACTGGTGGAGTTTATATTCATTAGGTAGAGATATCCATCTGAATTGTGAAATGACTGTAGCTGTCAGAACTTCTTTCTACAGATATCCCTTTGAATGTAGCATGAGATTGGAGAAAATATTTCAATTTGATATCGGTCTTGGATGCTATCAGTGCTTTTCTCTTTTGACTTCAAAAAGTTCAAAAGTGAAAAAAGCTTAACAGGAAAAAGAAACAGTCCTTTAAAGAAAATTTTGTACCTTTTCATTCTCAAAAAAATGCAAAATTTCAGAATCAGACTTTCTTCACTTAAGCATTGGCTAGTCACTAATTCACTCATACAGGGAATTCACATTCTTCTAAATATTTTGATTTGAGGAAGAAAAGATTCCACTGGAATAGTATAAGCTGCCAAGTGGAGGTGGTTTGCAATAAGGGCTGAACAACTGCATTTATCACCTGTAAAATTTTTTTGTCCCAGCAGTCCTAAACTGTCTTATGTAGTTTCTCTGTCAGAGTGTTTTGGCAGCTGTAGTCAACACATTATTCTTCCAGATAGCAGCTTCTGTTTGTCTAATGGGCATTTTCAAGCAGCTTTTCACACATCTTTTTCCTGTTTAAGAAACTTTCTCTTAGGTCCTCAATTATTAAGAACTCTGTTTAGACCAGTAGCTTACATTTATGGCTATTCTTAGTGAAAACAACATTTATAATAACCACGGCAACAAATTAAATGTTTGTGAAATACATAAATTCCTGCATAGGGAAGAACTCCTGCAATGTTTAGTTGACTTAAGATAGGTAAGAATTCGATTAATATGGATAACTTGGGCTCCAGCAAATTTTTGGTCATTTCATGACATTTTCCTTACCAGAAACATCCAACTCAGATGTTTCTTGCAGGATGACTGTGCTGTAGATTCTCATTGAAGTAGAAACCACCTTCTTGCAACCCATTGTATGAACAGATGTAATAGTTAAAGTCACAAAGTTTCTATACAATTAGTTTAATTGCAGCAAACAGATATATTTTGGTCCTGGAAAAACTCTGTGTTGTATGGCCTGAAATATGCCTTATTCATTTTTTCCAAATGAAACACCGTTGCTTTACCAAGTCGTGATCTTAAATGTTATTGAATTCCTCTTTTACCCTGCCACAAATGGGCAGCAACAGATGACCTGGCATTAATTCCTTTGTAGCGTTCTTGTGATATCACAAGGCATCCAAAGTCTGCTTATGTGGTTTATGATGTCACAGAATTCCTGGGAAAAAACTATTTCTTTGTAAGTAACTGCAGCTCATCAGTTGTTCTATATATAACTCTCACAATAGCAACCATCTGCTGAGAACCAGACCACTCCCCTCTTTCTTTTTTGTCCTTCATCACATCAAATTAGTATGAGGATGATTTCATATACATATGGTTTGAATACTGCTAACAAAGCCAAAATGAACTCCGAAAGCCACTAAAGGAACATTTTAGTAGGCTTTGAGACACTGTCCAGAAATTTTTGTTTGTTGGTTTTGAGTTTTCAAACTTTCTAAAAAGATGAATGGTGATTCTCAGAAGTTGTATATGTAAGATAACAAATACCCAACCAAACAACAACAACAAAAAAAGGCTTGGTTTTGGACTGAAGATGCTGACAAGTCATCATTTCTGTTGTATGGCTTTCATCTGCTTGTGTGGTAAAAAAGCAAAGTGTGGGGGTCATAATATGACTGCAATTAACGTTTCACGATCTCATCCTATTTAACAGTTTAAATTTTTATTGCTTTATGCTTCCTACATATTGAAACTGCAAAGCAGAGATAGCATCATATTATAAAAAGGAGTATTGGTGTCTTATTAAACCATGATTCTACTCTAAAGAAGGACTTTACAGAAATATCAGTGTGGGATTCTACCTAATGACTCCCAAATCAGCTTCATTAATTTTTACATTTACATGAAAAAAGGAAGCTGTGGAGAAAAAAGTAAGAGAATTTCTAATGGCCAGTGCAGCCAAATCTGCTTGGGACACACAAAATAAAGTTGTGGCTAGTGTATTGCAGTAGACAATAAGGACTTAATCAACAAAATATTGTCCTGTTTTGGAATTTAGAGTCCTTAAATTATTTTCTTTTATACTTCAATTTTTTTTTTTTTGCCTCTATTGGCATTAAACAGGTGTGACTAAAAGCACATTTTGAAATATATGCAGTTTTGCTGCATAGTGAAACTCAAGTTTTCTTACGAATACTTATTTAGTATTCTTTAGTATAATATGGTTACCTCTTCTGCTTCTTTCATAGCAACCTTTACTTTGTGCTTCCACAGCTGAATCTGTATTGATATTTGATCTGGCATAGACTTGTCTGCAGTATAGTGTGACTGATACCATGTCTGTAGTGCAAAATTTCCTCAGATACCAGTTCTGTTGAGGAGAATGTCCTTAAATATTAATTCTGTTGCAGATTTTGAGCTGGAAAAAAAATAAAATATCCAGTCCTGCTTCACAGAGCTGCAAGTAATAAAATTATAGCTGTCCTAGTAAAATAAGTGAAGCTGGCTCTGATTATTCATGGAATCAGAATTGCTGAATAAAGTACATTTTCACAGCATATAACTTTTTCTTAGTATAACTGCATTTTAAGTAATTTTTGGAGTATTTTCTTGCCTGACACCTTTCCCTGAGCCTGTTTATTTTCATTCCAATGCTACAACTCACTTCCTCATCATTTGCTCAACATCACCTCTGAAGACAGCATAGCATGTAACTGCACTCTGAATGGGAATTCCAAAGTTCTTTCATCTATATAAACTAAAGTCAAAATTCTTCTCCCTCTCCCTTTGAGCTGGCCTTTATTAGATAAAGCAGCCCAAGAGAAAATAGTACTAAAGCTGTAATTTACGTACAGAATTTTCACCACCAACTACAAATGTATGCTGTTCTTGCACACTACCTACTTATTCACACCCTGAATACTGCCATTTTCAGGTATTTTACTAGAACTGTTGTCCATAGCTGTGCTGTGGCTGAATTGAGAAACCAATCCAGGTTAAATATCTACCGTTTGCAGACTTTATTTTTTTTTCCTTTGAACTGAATCACTTCCCAAAAACAGCTCAGTTGCTGGCACTATTAAGGCCGAAAAAAAAATGTGGGGAAATTGAGACAACTGAACCAAGCAGTATAGCTGTCCATATTATTCCTGTTGCAGGATTGATCATTCAGCTTGCACTCGTTCTATTAAGAACTGTCCTTTCTGTATTAACAAGTCAACGTCTTCAGCACCTGCAATGGGCAGGCTATTTTAACATCTACAATGTTTCATATCAAAGCGGACTATGTAAAAAAAACCACAATATGTTGCTGTTTCTATTCTGAATCACAGGGTATGCCTACATAAATAATTACTCCAGAATAACAGAGGAATAAAGTAGAGACAAGAGATTAATGTAGACAGTATAACCAGGATTTTTTAATCATCTTTTTCAGCAGTTATAAATATAGATTTAATTGCTAAGTAGACAATATTCATTTGCTAATTTATTTCAATCCCCTATTTTTCTGCATTTAAGTCCTGAAAGCAATGTTGTCATATTTGTTATAGTTTATAAATAAAAGTACTATCTGTATGCTAACCTTTAATCACCATATATAGTCTAAACCTTTAGCTGTTTATAAAATGAGGATAATAAGGAATTCTTTTAAAGTTTCTAACAATATCTTCATACAACTAAATGAAAGGTGTTTTAGATGATTAAAGACATTTTATATGTCTTTTCAAGAAAAAAGTGCATGTGTGATGGCATATGGTCATTTGAAATCTAAATAACTGAGAGCAGTTTAAAATTTTATGTACTACATTTCAAATATATTGAGAAAACCTTTAAAGTGATGCTAAAACTGAGCATCTCTAAAAATTGACCAAGAATTTCCATGTGTCTACTTAAGGAAGTATGGCAGTGGTTTATTCCAAATAAATACATTTAAAACCAAACCTTTTATGAAAACTCTGCAATGTCACATAAAATTCTGACACCAATTCTGCCAAGTTAGTTTTTTTGATAAAAGTAATAATGCAAAAGTCTGAAGCCTTATAGAAAGTCCTAATCTCAGTTACACTGGTAGCTATCTATCAAAACCAAAAAAAGGAAAAAAGGTTGCGCCAATGGGGAAATTGATAACCTGTCAGAGATCAGGGGTTAGTAACTTTCCCTCTGATCAAGGTGCCCTTTTCTAATATTCCTCAGCATAGACCACTTGCTTTGCTGATGTGCTCAATCACATAGTCACAGGTTCCCACAAGGCTCATCAAGTCCAGCTCTTAAGTGAATGGCCTGTACAAGCAACGAACCCCCAACCTTGGTGTTATTAGCACCAGACTCTAACCAACTGAGCTAATCTCAGAGTATCTTGGAGTAACCTTGGTTGCTTGTACCACAGTTTGTCCAGATCAAAGTTATCCAAGTATTTGGCCAGAATATGAATGTCAGGTAAATCCTTTTGGCTTCTTCTTGCATATTTATTACAGGTCCAATAGCTAAAAAAACTGGACAGGGGATTTTAATTACCAGATTGTTGAGCTATAAGAACCTGAATTTATTTTCCCACTGAACATTGAGGATTCTTCCTTTGTTTTCACTGTAGACACCAATGAATCAAGCCTCCAGCCGATCTCACTGCATTTTCACTATTCACATCTCCAGCAAGGAACCCGGATCTGCAACTATCCGACGCTCCAAGTTGCACTTAGTAGACCTTGCTGGATCAGAGCGTGTTGCAAAGACTGGAGTTGGAGGTCACTTGCTGACAGAAGCCAAATATATCAACCTGTCATTACATTATTTGGAACAGGTAAAATAGAGTAAAACATTTCTCCCTTTACTACATCCCTGCTTAGCAATGCGCAATGTTTTAGAAAACTTGATATATTAGGATATTTATTGCAATTTTTTAAAATTTAATTGATAACTCGTCCTTTAAATTAACATATTTTAATTTAGGAAAAGCTTAAAAATTAAGCTGAAAAGTTAAGCAGTAAGATTATAGTAGGTGTACTATAGTAGGGTAGTATTTCCAAAATACTTTTCCTGTTTTATCTGCAATACTAAAGATATTTGCAAGATTGCACCCATATTTCTACTAAAAATGTTCTTTGTAATCTTCTTCCCCTTCCACAGCTGAGATCAGGATGTATCACTCAAGGATCAGTGAACTAAAGTGTTTTGGTTTTATTTGGTTGAAGCATTGTAATATGGTAAATTACTAGGCTCTTCTATCATGTGTTGTTTTATTCCTCTACCAGTGAGAATCTTTGATCTCTTTAAGACAGGAGTTACCTTTGGTAATGTATTTATGGAGTAACTACCATAATTAGTTATTACTACTCACAGATGTAACTACAATGATAATAATGATAATAATAAATCTCCACAAATCTTTGTCATTCAGCTGTTGTTACTGGAAAAGAGTTAGCCTCTTGATTCAAGGTATGCTAAAATTCCTATCCTCCTTTCACTGTTGCTTTTTATTTTTCCTCTTTGGAAAGGGCAGATATTGAGAAAATAGATTACTCCCAACTAATCTTAGTAACTTGAGAAAAAATAAATTCTTAGGATAGCAGCAGTGAATGAAAACTTTGGAGATGAAAGATTTTAATAACTATTATGAGTATTATTAATTGTATTTTTACAAAAAGTAAATAATTGTTAGTTCATTATTATTATAATTATTTTATTGTTAATAATTGTAATTATTATTAAGGTTTTCATATATATGTCCCTGATCTACTGTGATGTTTTATATGTTCAATGTTTAGGATGCTGTAAAACACCAAGTAAGGGTAAGAAACACTTGGCAGTGAATGAAATCTCTTTTGTGAATGCTGTGCTATTAATTTGCAGTCATTGAAGATTTTCAAGTCTTGATTTCAGACCTCACAGGCTGTAAAAGAAATTAAGTTCTTCCTAAGACTGAATACATAATATTGTTTTCACAGTACAGTAAACACTTTTCTTGTTGCCAGAAATTAATTATTTGGAGGGATTCTGATGGAGAATACAGTATTTCTTTCTGAGGCTTCTTTAAAAATTTTATGTACAACCATATCAGGTCTGTGAGGCTTTCATTTAGTGGGAGAAGTAAGGGGGTAGAGAGAAGAAAAAATACTTAACTCTGAAATTTAAATTTGTCCTTTTTAATTTACACGTCAGTATATGCGTTATTTAGTAAATATACAGTTGAGGAAATACATAAAACCAGAAAATTTTGGTGGTGTCTATATGTGACAATTCTTTAAAATTACGATTAGGAAATATAACTGTTTCACTTGCTGGGAAGAACATTTTTCATTTCTGTGTTATGTGTTTTTCTGTTAACAAGAACAAATCTCTTGCATTTCATTTAACCTGCAATGAGAGATATTTCACCTGTCAAAAGAAGAAGCTTAAAGCACAGCAGGTGGCAGTCAGTCATTTCCTATTACCCTGAATTTTTTTCAGACCTCCCGTTTGTTTGAATTTTACCTTGAAAAAAAAAGTCCATATTTCAGTTGTACTCAAAGGGAGTGATGAAGATTAGTGATTCTAAAATGGACCGCTGCAGAATCACAGAAATTGTACCCAGGATCCTTCTTATTTACTGTATGATTTTTATGTATTTATTATGCAACATTCCATGAGCTTATATGAGGTTGATTTTGATAATCTGTGTGGTGTGTTTTGAGATTCTCAGATCTGAAGTGCTGTAGAAAAGAAAAGTTTTTTTGTCATGCAATTCTTAATTCCTATTTCAGAAGAAATACAGTTGGAAAGAAGCATGTTGGATTCTGTCTAGGTTGTGTATCATTAATAAAAATGTTTTCCAAATAAAAGACCACTGAAGACTATAAAAAATATCATTGTTCAGTGAGAATTAAAGCATTCAATTCTGACATTTCAGTGACTAATATTAAAGTATATAGATTCCTCCAAATCAGCTTTTTTTACATTCTCAAATATTTAGTTGTTTACTGGTGGTTTAATATTGAGTTATGCCATTTTTAAACATTTCGTAATAAAATAGTCATGTAAAATGATTTTTATTGAGATGACAGTGGGAACACAGGTCTGTATTACCACACTTGGTCTACTTGTTAAATATTCACAGTGTGTTAAAAAAATCTTCAAATAGATCAACTGCCCTTTTTATCCAACTGGTCTCTATGTCTAGAGAAGAATGAAGATAGTGTCATGCAATTGATCTAAAATGGCAGCAGGAACTTAAAAGTCCCTACTACCATGTCTGGATAGCTTTTCTTTGTCTGAGAGATGTAGGAGCATGTTCTGGAATTACAACTGCATTGTAACTGTGTGTATGTAGATGTTCCCTTCTGGTGCACAACATAGAGTATCCTGGGCTAAACTTAGAGCTGCAGCTTGACAGTGATACTGCCACATGATTTGACACTGTAATGGAATTATTTCCCCAAAATAATAGAGTACAATGTTCTCACTGCTTTAATGAATATGCCTGTGAACTGTCATTTAACATGTGTTCCATTTAGGTAATGTTGAATGATTTTATTCATTAGTCAATGGTTGCTACCCATCCCTACCAAAGTTTTTTTTTATAAAATTTGAAATTACTGACAGTCATCAAATGCTAGATTTATCCACATCTTATATAAAAGATAATTTTTGGTTTGATGTTTCCTAATAAACATATCATGGCTAGGCTTCACGAAGGAAGATTTGAGAAAGGCTCTACCCACGCTTGCTACAAGCGCGCTGATGGCTAAAAAGGCCAATGCGAGATAGACAAGTCCAGTTGCAAATAAAAAATAAACACATACAGACACTAGAGTAACAGAAAAACCAGAAACTTTTAAATAATTTAAATTGAAATACATTTGTGTCTCATTAGAAAATCATGATTTTGGGCTGAATAATTTCCAGCAAGACCTGTAGTATATATTGCAAACAAGCATATGTTGTCCAAAAAGTAAGAATGCTTGTAATTAACTACAAGACATCAGCAACAGAGTTTGATTTTTGTTTTGCTGTAAGGTCCAGAGCTTAAGCTGCTAAACTCTACTAGAAATGGGAGGTAGGATAGCAGACATAAAAAAAGACCTCTGGAACAGGCATATGGCTTCAGAGCATCTGATAGCTCTGTACCTGCAAGCATCTCTTGAGGATGCTCTGAGAACAAGTTCTGGCTGCCTGTTGGCATGAGGTACTGGTGCAAATCTATTCCTTGCATAAAGGATGTGGACAGGAACAGGGACCCTTGGGCACAATTCATATCATGCCAGAACCTTGTGAGTCTCAGGACTTCCTTTATGCTTAACAATATTTCCATACATTTCAGTCAAATCATTTGCGAGTGATAGTACCTACTCTACGCTATAACATGTCATATGGCATGCAAGTAATTATAGTTCTGACAACTTCCACATTAAAAAATTAACTAGACTTTAAAGAGGTTTGTTTGACCCACTCAAAATGAAACTGTCTGCCTTAAATTATGTTGATTTCAATCACCATATTGCATATTACAGGACCTAGTTTAGGAATATTATTAAGCTCAGATCTCTCAGTATTAAACAACAACAACCACCACCAACTCTTTTGTATATTAAAAGGACAATAATGCCTTCTTGAAGGAGACAGTGTTCTGATTATCATATTTGGTGGCTGTTAGAGGACCCAGGTTCAGAGTCTGTACAGGTGGTTTCTCTCACTTTATAAAAGAACATTATTTCCCTCTCCTTCACATTCTCCTCTTTCTGTTCTGGATTCCTTGACTGGATTGTAAAGAATAATTTAGTGATTTAGGTGAGGTTTTACTAAAGGGACTTAAGACCAAAATCTTCTGTTATGACAGCACAGTGGCTTTTGCATCATAAGAGTTGGTCATAAAGCTTTCCAGTGTTAGTGTGGGAGGGTTCAGATTCCACCTGGACTACAGACTTCCTTCATGAGCTTCAGAAAAAATGAACTTCTCCATAGCAAAGTTCCCATTTTTAATGGAAATAACATATCTTCCCTCTGGCTCTTTTCCCATCTTGTCTATTCAGATTATAGTCTCTGTGTGGCAGAGGCTGAGAGTGTGCTTATTAATGTATGTGCTAGACTACTATGAGGTTTCTATGCAATATTATAAACCAACAAAGTTTTAACATGTTTCTATATAACAAGTTGTAATATATGAGATTTGAAAACCTTGATCCAGGAATGGCTTTCCAGATTCCTTTACAAGATAGTAATTTTCATATTATGCATTCATGTCTCTCAGGGCTGCCAGTGTAAGATTTATAGTTTTAACTTTTAACTTTCTGAAGATTGTAAAGAGAAACTAGTGCCACAAAAAAGTTGCTACTAAATTTTCTAAAATAACACTTTTTGTAAATGCAGCATAAATTAAATATATACTGGAATGTAATATTTATTAAAGGAAAACCAACTCCTAATCATTTAGGAGAGCTTGCACAACTCACATAGCTGCAGTTTTTCAGTACAGTCCTTGGACAGATATCAGTTTAAATCTTTTATATCACAAGAAATCATGGGGTAATCTAGCCTTTTATTTAATAATAATTAGGTCCCATAATGTAAACAGCTGAGAAGGGAAACTGAGAATAGGAGGTGTACAATTTCCTTCTTGGCTAAGGCATATATATTCTAAACTGAATTATTTCTTTCCAGCAGTACATTGTAATTATGCCCCCTTTTATTTGTGCTTTGCTTTCCAAGACATTTTCTCAGAAATAAAGGTATCAACCCGTCTAAGAAGTACATGCTTTGAGAATGTATAATTTTTAAAGCATGCTTTAGCAAATACTGAGGAAGTTTTTACTTGAATACTATCCATTTGTTATTAAGGTAAAAAAGTATGAGGAATATTTTCAGTAAGTTCCTGTGTTTTAAGAAAATCTGTGGGTTTATCATGTTCAGTTTCCATGTTGCTGAGAGACTGTAAGCGTAGCGTATGATAAAATTTAATTTATTTGGTCTTTCAGGTCCAGCTCCTACAAAGACATATAAACACGCTGAAATTTAAGTTGAAATTCATTCAGTAAAACCAGTGGTTTTGCAGCTAAGATGCATAAGTGTAGTTTTATTGTATCTGAAGTTCCTGAACATATTGGTTTTGTTCTTTTATGTGTCAGTCATTAATAGGTATATAAATTTCCAAGTCTTTTCTATTTTTGCTATTGTTTTAGGTAATAATTGCCCTTGCAGAGAAAAACCGGTCCCACATTCCTTACCGAAACTCTATGATGACCTCAGTGCTAAGAGACAGCCTGGGAGGAAACTGCATGACTGCCATGATAGCAACACTCTCTATAGACAAAAGAAACATAGATGTATGTTATTTCTATCTATTTTGAACAAAAATATTTCCGCTTTTTTAAAGATCCTGCTCTTTGGAATTTTATTGTAGTTTACAATTCAAATGTGTATGCTTTAATTCTTATCCTTATAAAAAACCCAAACTTAACTTTGTTTCCAGGAGATAATTTTATCTGTGGAAATTGCACTAGGATATAGACATATCCTTTAGGAAATGTGCTTTTCTCTAAGTAATCTCAAGTCAAGGAGCAGTTGGGAAGTGATTTGCACCTAATATTGAACTGATCTTTTTTTTAAATTTACTGATTTCCTGATGAATAAATTTTTGAGTTATTAAAATGCATTTCTACTGAAAGCCTTGACAGAACTTCTGTTAGACTTCTTTGGAGTCAAGACTTCACTGAGTATGGTAGATAGCTGGAAAGTTCACTAGGTGGGAGAGGGAATTGGATGGGGTAGTTTGGGACTTATGGAATTTTTTTACATACTTTTGTGTCCCTTCACTACTTTCCTGCCCTGGAATTATAGTGTAGTGATGTTTTCTTCTCTTTGTTTACAAAAAGGGCTGTATTTTTTATCAATGGGTTGTAGTGAATGGGCTACATCTGGCTGGAGACTGGTCTCCAGCAATGTTCCTCTGGTTTCAGTCCTAGGGCCAGTTCTGTTCCAATATTTTCACCACTGATGTGAATGGGATTTGAATGGGCCATTACCAAGTTTGCTGTTGATACCAAACTGGGAGCTACTGTTCACACTCTTGAGGGACAGGAGGCCATGCAGACGGATTTAGATAGGTTGGAGCATCAGGCTATGATTAATGGGATGAATTTTAACAAGTCAAAATGACGGATTCTGAACCTACAGTGAAGTAATGCCCAGCACAAACATAAACTGGGAGAGGAGTGGCTGGAAAGCAGCCATGCAGAAAGGGTTCTGGGGGTGCTGGTCAGCAGCAAGCTCAATGTGAGTCACAGTGAGCCCTGGCAGCCAAGAGGGCACATCAGAGACAGCACAGCCAGCAGGTCCAAAGAGGTGATTATCCTGCTGTAGGCAGTGTTGGTGTCTGCATACACTGTGTGCAGCTCTGGACCCCATGATTTAAGAAGGATGTGAAGGTCCTTGAATGCATCCAGAGAAGGGCAACAAAGCAGGTGAAAAGCTGTCAGGAATGTCCTGTGCAGAGTGGCTGAGGAATTTGGACTTGTCTAATTTGAAGCAAAGGAGGCTTCTTTGATCTCTACAACTCCCTGGGGAGGGAGAGCGAAGAGGGAGGTGCTGAGCTCTTTGCCCTGGTATCCAGCGATGGAATGAATGGGAATAGTTCAAAGCTGCGCCAGGGGAGATTCAGGCTGTGTTAAGAAGCATTTCTTTATTAAGAGGATGGTCAAACATTGGACCAGGCTGGAGAGGTGGTTAACATCCCAAGCCTGTCAGTATTTAAGAGGGGTTTGGACAATGCCCTAAACAACATGCTTTAACTTGGTCAGTCAGTTGTACTAGATGATCGTTGTAGGTCCCTTTCAAATGAAATGGTCTTATCGATTTCATTCTAAAATATGTAGTGATGTGAATACATAGAACCCCCAATCAAGCCATTTATAATATATTCCTGATTTTATTAACATCAAAGCATTCTAATATGAATAAACAAGAAAAAAAACCTATTTAGCCTAAGACTGTTTTCTGAAATACAGTGGAAAGCATTATACTAAAACCATACTTCGTCTAGTTGTAGACTTCTTTTTCTTTAGAAAATGGACTTAGCTGTTAAATGAAAACAGATCGTTCAGACTTGCAAACATGTAATTGTGCAAGCATATTGTCTTGTTACAACTGCAACTGGGTAAGTTTGCTAATTTTATTTTAGGCTCTGTGGGATTAGCACCCTTTTGTGTATCAATTCATCAGGTATATGTGTTCACATTGTGTTCTACATTTCTATTTTGGGAATATTTAGCCCAAGCAGTTATGCAGAGTAAGCTACTGCCAATTTTCATGTTCTTGCTTTAACATATACAATCCACACAACAGATCTTATTGTTCAACAATAAAAAGAAAAAATAAAAGAAAAAACCAAAAATCTCTTCCTTGCTTCCCACAATCTATGTCCAAATAATATGATTACCAGACAGATAATAAGTTAGTATCATCTGAATAATATAAACTGATGATAAGTCAATTGCTATCAATTAATGATAAGTCATTAGAAAATGTCAGAATTAGGATAGCTGCATGAGTCATTATGTTTGGTTTGCATGTTTGCTTATTTTTTTCCATGGGATATACATTTCATTCACAAATGGAACACAAGACAGCTACTGCCCAGTGGGAATTGAAGTTGTAAAATAAAAGCCCCTTTCTTAAAGATCTAGTGTTGTTTCTTGCAATGAAAGCAACAAAGCAGAAAACTCAAAATAAGAAAGGGCCCTCATATGAAGAGGACAAATGGAATATTATCCTAGAGAACTAGATTATATCCCTACTTCTACCAATGAGTTTATATGGAATTTCTCAGATCACTGCATCACATTTTTTGTGCTAGTGTTGTGGAGTGTTTGAATGAAGATGTTGATTCTGATTTATAGATACATTACTTATTACAGCTGTAGCTGAAGCCAAATGGAAGGTGTTTGGAACAGAAGGTTGTATATTGATAGCAGCTGCATATACTTTTTTTGGTATTTTTGACTTCAGTTTCCTTTCTGATAAGTGTAGTCATTCCACACACTTGCAGCAAAGCAATAACTAGAGGTTACAGCCCTCAGGTGCTGTAATGATCAGCATGGTAGAAAAATGATTGGGAAATTAGATGTCAGGCTTGATTACTGTTTTCATGGCACAGAATAAATTGTAAGCCTACATATTGAACATCGAGAACTGAATTGATTAGCTACTCATTAATTTAATGTATGCTTCACACTAAACAGGGCAAAGAGATCTGGTGGAAATGTATATATGTGTACTGTACATATAACTGTACTCAATATATATACAGAACTTAATTAAAATCACATTAGCTGATCATCACTGCACAGGAACAGTACAGCAGAGGCAAACATAGAGTCCAGCTAATACTGTGTACAACTCTCTTAATTGTAAGGCCTTCCTTTCCTTTGACTCTCTGTGTATGTTATGTTTTGGCAAGAAACGCTAGTATTTTTCCTCATGTAACCCTAATTCAGATACCACCCCTTCAAACACTGAAAGAGACAGAAGTTCTGCAAGAAAAGAACTATATGAACATAACATTTCAATTGGTATTTTCATATGTCGGAGGACTGAAAACTGCAGAATTACTTTGATTCTGAAAATCAGTTCTATTACAGTAGTAAAGTACATGTAAATTCCCTTTTAAATGCAGTATAACACATCTCAGAAAATTTTATCATACAGTTCTCTAGCAGGGTCTGACATTCAAGTATCAGCTGATTTCAAAGGAGGAACAATACATATAAGGATGTTTGATTTCATTCTATGCCCTAGATGGGAGTACACACTGGTTGTCACAGAGTTTCCTCCACAAACTCAGACTTGTATCTTTTTTTTTTTTTTCAGCTTTCCTTTCTCCTTCACCCCATGTTAGGGTCATTAGACATTTTTTATCTGGTATCTCAGTTCTCCTGTATGCCTTCTAGTGCCAAGTCTCCCAGCTTGTTTCTCTTATTTCCTGGACCTCCACTCTTCCCTTCATCTCTTTTCCCACCGTCTTTTACATATTATGATATAGTCCCATTTTCAACCAAAAAAAAAATTAGTTTTATATAATCTTCTCTTTTTCTCATCATTCAAACCTTATTACCTTCTGAGTAGCATGGCTTTGTTATCCTAAAGTGCCAGTCAGGGACTTATATGAAACACAGTTGATCAGGAGATTAACTGCATCAATAAAATGTGTACTATGATTTAACAATTTTATATGTCACTGTCATTAATATGCTAACCTAATTTCCTTTGAATATTGTTATTTTGGAATATGAAATGATAGAATATTTCTGTAAAATGCTCAAAAGATAGAAACATAGTTTAATGACTTCATTAGCAGTCTGGTCTACTTACCTGATGCAAAGCTAACTGAAATTCTTCTCTTTTCTCTCTCTTTTACTTTTCTTTTCTTTCCAGGAATCTATATCAACCTGCAGATTTGCACAGCGAGTTGCTCTCATTAAGAATGAAGCAGTTCTTAATGAAGAAATTGACCCCAGATTGGTGAGAGTTGTCTGGGGGCAGAGAGAAGGAGATTGCTTGTTTTACATTTTAATAATCAATAGCAGTCAAATTGGTGTTGAGAATTTTATAGTGAATCATCCCAATAAATTGTTTTTAGATGCAAGTTCCAACTGTTTGCTATAAAATAACTATCATTCTATTTTTTTCTTTTGGACATAACTATAATTAAGTGGACCTTTATAAAACCTCCAAAGGCTTTACCAGCTCTTAAAGCATCTGAGGAGTAATGGTCACTTTCTTTATCGGTTTTATGTTGTTTCGTTCAGAGTGTTAATTTCTAAATCATAAAAACACATAATTGGATAGCTCTAAAACACTTCAAAAATATACTGAGATTACTACTCACTTGGTGAAAGCACACTGCTGCACTGAAACTATTTATTTATTATAAAGCTAAGAAACATACAGATGCAGTTCTTCCATGAAACTGGTTCAAGGAACATTCTAGCTAGGAAGAGAGAATTCTGAGAAGTTCTCATTAGAAAAAAAAATGTAGACAAATAAAGCAGATAGAAAATGGATTTCTACAATCTGGAGAATGTTAGGTTATATAATGTAAGAATCATCTGTTGTCTAAAACTTGGGGATTAGATGATTAATGATTTCATTAATTGTTACTTGATGGTAATTACCATATTTCAGTTACTGTTAATGATTGTGCTTTGTTGTTGTTGTTATTGTCACTTGTCCTTGAAATTCAATGGGAATAGAAGATTCTTGACAGGTTTCCGGCTGTTTTTCTTTAGTAGTAGTATTATTCTTTATTTATTTATTTATCTCTCCACCCAATTTCTAATAGTAACAGCATCACAATTTAAGAAAAAAAGAAAAGCCAAAAAATAAACCCAGTAGGCATTGAAAAACTTCTTCATTTCTGTCTGTCTGTCCTCTTTTTTTCTTTCCTATGTAGGCTTTATAGTAGCAAATCATGCAAAACATTTCTTCTATGACCACAGAAGCCTTTGATTGAGGTGGAACACATGCAGGCTCCTGAGCATTTACTACATCCTGTGGAGCTATACTCCACAAGTTTGGTATGTCTTGCTCTGCAGGATCATTTAGCAAGTAAAGCAGAGTGGACTCGTGAGAGTTAGAAAACCACCTCCCCTTGTGGAAAAGGCAGGGGTACACAGGTACCTTGACTTTATATGGCTCTGTGCTCATTGTGGAATTTGTTGCCCATCTTAACTGCCTTAAATACATTCCCAGCATGCAACCTGGTTATCCAGTAAATTGCTCGACTTAGGATTTTTTTTTTCATAAAAATCCAACACAGTTTATTGGCAGTTTTTATCATCTGTGAGTTGAATACATGCTTTATAAAGGGAGTTCATAATACTTTTTTGATAGATCTGAGTTAAGTCTGCCTGTTGGATAAACTTTATTCTACATAATGGAGACTTCCTGACTTTTTATCTTACTAGAGGAGATGAATTTATACCCATTGTACTTTTAAGCTACTCATCTTGGAACCTCTCTCACTCAAGACCAAATATTTAAACTGAAAAGTCTTGAGCCTGAATTAAATCTCCTCTCCTCTGGTATTCATGTAAAATAGAAATTGAATTATTCTGCTTCTGTAGATTTTTGCTTGTCTTAATAATACTTGAAAATCAATCTTTCATCCACATGCTGAAGCTGGTATTTCTGTTGTTGTCAGATTGAAATTAAGCATGCTAACAAATTTGAATATTGAACAGAAATCATTCAGCTATCATTCAGCTGTCTACCATTTTATACTCCAGCCCCAAGTTTTATTAGCTCGACTCAGAAAGTGGCACAGACTACATCAGTGTGTGGCACCAGAGTGGGGCAGTATGGAATTAGGTTAAAACATTTTAAGTACAAAGTGTTTTTGCCACTTTTCTAATTAACAGTTCATCACTTTAAGAGATCCTTAAATAAAATATAATGTTAGCCTTTCATACTTTCATTGTAAAAAATATGTTGAGTAGGTTTAGAGTTAAAAGAAATAATCAAATGCATATTTAGAATATTTTCATTTGTAAAATATGGTTTCATACAGATTTTTTTTCCAAAAGTAGTGTTCCGACAATGAACTATTAGAATTTAAAAATCAAGTTCAGTTCTCCAAGCAATTTTCTCACAATCATTACTATTCATTAATGCAATTTAATTTTGTTACCTTATAATATTAGTTTGTTGTTAGCAACGGATGCATCCTACAAGTATAGTATGCTATAATTCTAACGAAAGTGTTTTGGAACTTCTTTTCCTAAAGGGAAAGTAAAAAAAAAAATCACTTTTAGTGTGTAGTTGCCCTTTCTCTAACAAAGATGTCAGTTCTTAAGTGTCCTTTCATTATTAACAGGCTAAACTAACAAGACAGAAAAGCTCTTTTTATTCCTATGTCAAATTATATTTCTCTTTCGCAAAAAATCTTTTGAACTCTTTCTGTACAGCCATGTCTTCTAACACAAGAATTTACTGAGTTTGGAAGACTTTTCTGTGTTTTATAAATGGAAAAAGAAAAAAACAAATGTGCTTGGTGTATTTAAGACATTTAAACAGTTTTTTAAAAAGGAGACCTTGTTTAAAAAAAGATAAAACCAAAGTATAATATTTACCTAAACTCAACCTTCTAATGCAAAAATCATAAACTAGCTATTATTTGTAGATGATGTTTGGTTTATGCCTTGCTGTTTACAGATGATTGTCCAGCTGAAAAAGGAGATCCAGGATTTGAAGGATGAGTTGGAGCTGGTGACTGGCAAGCAAAGAACGTCAGAGCTTTCACAAGAAGAGCTACTTCAGTAATGGCTTACATTGTTTTCATTTTTTCTTTTATTATTATACTTCTCATCAGTTTACTTTTCCTTTACTGGCATAAGTATTTAAAATCATCTCCGAGTTTTAAACTTCCCTGAGTGAATAATAAAGTAAAGTTAGGTGCCAGTTTAGAATGGCTGTTTTCCATGAAAGGCTCTATGAGGCTGCTGGCTGTGTTTTTGCAGCCTCAGCTTTGAGGAAGTGAAGTAAAGTAAACGCAAAGGATGGGAATGCCTGTCAAGTGCCAGGCAAAAAGAAGTGTTGTATAATAGTGCAGAATGAAAAACAGTCTCTCTCAAATCTGGATATGTGATCTGAGTAGAGTTCAAGGAATATTCTTGTGCTGAAAAGTATCTGCTGCAGTGTTAGTTTGACATAAACCAAAGGAAATCTCACATTTGTGATCCACAATTAATCAATGTCTTAAAAGCCAAATATTCATTTTTCTTTTTACTGAGCATGCTATTGAAAATGCAGTATTAATTCATGTAAGTGTTGTAAAATCCTGCAGCTTTTTGTAACAGGTCAGTACAGAGTGTAAGATCTTTCTATATATAATGTAGAAATATTTACTTAGCTCTAAATGTTGAAAATAATTCAGGTTCCAGTTTTGAAAAATTCATTTTGTAAGATGGACCTACTTAATCTCTGTACCTCATCTCTATAAAGAAAGTAGTAACTGCCTAATTTTGTTTGGTAATACATTAACAGTAACCAAAGTGAGAATTTTTAGTCTTACTTTAATTTCTCTTGGCACTAGCTCAAAACACAACTGTAAGTACTAACACTTTCCTGAAATACAGAAGATCCTGGAGACATGAGGACAAGCTACCTTGAACCTTGAGTTTCTCATGTAGATTGTTGTCATTATTAATTTTTGCTTTGTTTTAATTCAGAAATGAAATTACATCCGTATCAAGGATGAGGAGCGAGGTAGCATTATTTTATATATATATATTTATATTGTTAATCTGATTGATTTTCAACATGAGCAGTTACTGGCATATTCTTCTAACCAGAAATGTCCCCTCATTTACTACTGGTTTAATATATATTTATCATTCTACCCAAACATGTGGGAGTCAAATGCACAAATAACATTACAGAGTAGCACTAGATGTGACCAAGACTAGACATAGAAAGAAAATTAAAGAAACAGCAAGAACTGAGAAGTTTCTCTCCTTTTTATTACATGAAGAATTAAATGCCCTTATTAGTTAGTTTCTTTTTGTCCTGACAGAACTAGTTGTTCAGAAGATGATGGACTCAGTGACTTTATTCAGACATGCTTATATAATCCATATATTCATTCAAAGATGTGCTTTGTCAAACATTTTTATAAAAGCCTGTCATGTAGATTTTGCATTGTGGTCCTGTTTGATGCTTAGTTTGTATAGAGAAAGTGGAATTTTGGAAATAACTTGGTTTTTTTAAGACCACACTCACGAATCTTATTTCCTAAGATTTTCTAGCTGCCTATTTGCCACAGAAATGGCAGCCTTATGAATGGGATTGGATTAATGGGTGATTAAAGATTTTACTATGGATATGTAAAGAAAAACTAGGAAGGTACCATCTGCATACAGTTGAACAATAGCATACAATTGGGAGGCCTTCTTTCAGAAATTTTACTAAAAAGTGTATTAGTTGTATGTTTTTCCATTTTATCTACATAGCACAATAGACAGCGCATTGCACTGTCAGAAAAGGTTTCTTCTGAGATCATAGCAAGGAATTTTGCATCTGATTACTCCAGAAAGGAGGAGGGAGGACACTTTAATGACTTTCCTGTAATAAGATACAAAATGAGAAATAACTTCCAAGGATCTCAGCTGTATTAGGCCAACACAAAATTTTAAATTTTGAATTTATCATTTATTTATGTTTACTCAGGCTCATGTACCATATGTGTTCATTACTTTAAAAATAAGTTCTTTCTTGGAACAAACACTTTGCAATTAAAATATAGAACAACATTTAAGTACTGATGACTGGGATATAATACTTTTCCTGAATATCACTAGTAAACAAGAATGACCTCAAATAAGTACCCTAATCAATCATCAGTGCCATATAATGGCGTTTTTCAAGGATCATTATTTTTTATATGATTTAAAGTGAAACAAAAAAATAGGATATACAGGGTTTTTTCGAGCAGAGAGCCAAAGATAGTGCTAGAGAATAACTATCATATACATGAGTCAGACTGGCTTATTAGTACTGTATGCTGTAGTTGAATGGAATGTCACAAGCTCAGTCAGTCTTTAAAAACAGTTCAAGTGGAGGAAAATATCAAATGTCAGAGTTTATGAATTTTGCATTTGTATGTCTTGCAAACAGAATGCTCACATAAACAACTGGTGTGGACTAAACACCCAAATGAAAGTATAATCAAATGATAGTTAAAAAAGCCACTACTTCAATGAAAATATCTTTCTATGGTTTTTTGAACATGTATACTTTTTGAGCTTGCTTTCATATGTCAATGACATTTGTGACCACACTGATTTTACATGTCTGAACTTGAGGTCCATAAATGTTCTGAGCATTTATGACAATCAGCAAATAGTATCTAAGTGCTCTGTCTTCAGTTAGAGTCTATCAATACATAACATGACAAATGTTTATGGCAATTCTGTTTATTGAGACTGGCCATCTGAGTTTGGAGCTACTCATTATCTGGAGAGTTCACATTAAAGAATAAATATACAAGTGAGTAGTCCAAACAGAAGCATTGACCTTGATGAAGGCTTCTAAAATCATTATTGACTATTGCTAGAAAATGTCTATTTTGTGATTTGCATCTAGTTTTGCATCTGTAATGAAACCTGAATAATACTATTTATCAGGAGACATATAGATCAGTTTGTTATGATAGGAGAAAAGAAACATAGTGTAGGTGATAAGAGAACATACTGTGTTGTGCTTTATTTCAAGTTGCCACCCAAGAATGGTTCTTAGGGGACTAGTACTGTAGGATATTTCATTTTATTATTATTGTTGCCTTTTTAATATGACAGAGAGGAATTTCTAATTAAGGTCATTATGGATTTCAAATAGTTCTTAGACATTTTTACTTAGTTGGGATATCTTCTGTTTAAACTTAAATAAACTGTACCTCAACACGTATATATGTATATACATACATAGCTATAAATAATCCAAGTTTATATAGATATTTTCAAAATTCCTAGACTTTAATGAAAGTCTTACTGTAGTTAATTTTATTGCAAATAATTTAATAAGAAGTGGTACAAAGTATAGTCATATTAAAAATGGATGTGTTTTAATTCTTCTTTTGTTTTGTCATACATATTTTAAGGGAGGTCATAGCAAAATTAATCTGCTGAAAGTATTCTATGCCAGTTATTTAATTTATTCTTTGATTCTGAACACACTTGGTCAAAGGTACAAAACATATCAGTGAAAAACTCCATGCACTAAGTACTTATTTATTTTGTTGTCCTGTACACTTTTCAATAGAAGACAGATGCCAAAATGAAACTGAGTCCAGTGGCACATATGTAGATCCAATATAATTTTTTTTTCTAACAAAATGCTTAGGTTTTCTGCTCTCCACATATGTTGCAGGAGTTAAGTGTTGGTCATTGTCCAGGAAGTAAGTATTAATAATATGTTAAAATTTTATTTTGTGTGTTTCTTGACTTACTAACTTAAGGAATGCCCAACGTCTCTTGCAATAATGAGCTTCATTCCACTTGTTTATGTTCAGGGCATTCTAGATGAAATCAGTGGGCTACTCAATGCAGTTGAATTTGCTAAATGTTTGACGTTGGTACATGAATAAGCTGAGGTTCCTTTGTTGCTTTGTTTCCACACTTAAATCAAATATATGTCTTCAGGGATTTTTTTTTTTATTATTATTCATTTAATGGAAAGGAAAAAATGTGTCAAATAGGCTTTCCTAAGAATCACTGTTGTATTGTCATTCACTGTTTAAAACAAAATGGAAAACAAATGCTCTTGACTTTTCTTGTGAATGGTAAATTATAATACAACACAACTTAGTCATGTGACTAAACCTACAGCTGTCTGTAATTCTTCTTTCAGAATTCTGTGTTAAATGGTAAGCATTTGCATTATTATGTCTTTTTTTATTTTATTATTTTATTCTCGTTAATTTTAAACATAAATGAATTCTGCTGCTCTCATTTTGTTTATTTAAAAAGCAAAGCATAAAAAATTCAGCTAGACTACATAAGTGGTTCAGAATGTAGTTCATAAAATGCTTCCAAATCTGAATTGCTTGCTTTGGATCTTACCATCTACTTCCTTAGCTGTAAAGGGCTGATCCAAATATTTCTTTGAGCTGGAGAATTAGTTTCTTGTTTAGGAGAAAAAAATAAAAAAGGGGATGTTTGGACTATTTTTAAAAAATAGAAAATAACATAATACATCCCAAATACAACACAGGCTTCTGCATTATGCTTTAGAATAGAATTAAATTACCTTCAAATGATGGTTTTTTTCTTTTATAAAATGCATGCCAGAAGTAAAAAGGAGAGTCCTTTTTTTTATTCATTTAGGATTTTTATTTTTTTAATCATATAAATGAGCTCACTAGCAATTTACAATCTGTGCCCAGAAAGTCAGGATTTCAAATCAGTCTGTGTTCCAGAGCACCCACGCTTCCAGAGCCTTTGCCAGTTGGAATTCTCTAAGAACAGGACCGGAAGTACTGGCTTAGCACTTTAATTTATTAATAACTTTACCTTATTTCTTTCAGATACATATGGTATTACAGACACTTCTATTTTTTACTTCAACGGTCATATATTGTTCATCATACTTAAATCCTGGATATCTCATTACTTCTTTCTGTCTTTCATTTCTCTGTTTCAGCATTATGACATCTGTATGCTATCATGGTATTAACAATATTGCACTGTTGTACAATATAAAGCTCATACTTAAGCTGTTGAACAAATGGCTTCCTTTACAAAGCAGAGCAAATTTTCTTATT